AGTTAGCTCTTTGAGAACATAGATGTGATTGTACAGCTTTTAAAGTCAGGTCTCATTTTCCAGTCCGGGAACCCAGAATCCCTGAAAACTCAAGCCTGTCATGTATCAGGCATATTATCTAGGGAAAACTTGAAAGCTATAGCAGGTAAAGAAGAGACTGGGCTTCTTGGACATGCAGTGTAGACACTACCTTTGGTGTGAACCCTATGAGTCATCCTAGCAATGCTCTGGGAGGGTCCTGCCTTCCTTCCTCCTTCTTACAACCACATAGGACACTGTGGGAAAACTGGGCTAGAACCACCACTATTTTTTTTTTCTTTTATACAGAATTTATTGTGTAGCTCTTTGACCTACCAGTCATTTGATTCAACTGAACTATTCAATATACGAAGAGAGGATATTCACTTGTTCTTCCAGGTCAAAAACATGATTCAAGCACCACAGTGAATATCTTTTTTTTTTTTTTTACTATAAAGGTTCCAATTCACATGTGCAGATAGATTTTAGCACAGATTTCCATTTATGACTACCTACATAATATTTTTACCTTTTGACTGCTGACTATTATTGATTCTTGAAACTTACATAGTTTCAATATTTTTATTATGATATTGTGGGGTACAGTTAAGGGTTAGGTATACAAATATGCTTCGTTCAGGCACCCTTGTTGATAAGAGGTGTCTCCCCATCCCCAGACAGATATTTACTACCATGAATCCCATCTCCCTTCCCCTCCCCCCCATAGTTTCCCACCACTGTCAGTCATTTTCTTATAGTATTACATTGGATAGAACCACCACTATTTATACCACCTCTCTCAGGCCTCCAAGTCTGCAGGACACAGACACCTTCATTTTCTCTATTTCTTAGCATGTCATTGGCCCAAACCATATGGGCAAGCATTTATCTGCAAAGCTACCATGAAGACCCTAGACTCAAGGAAAAATCAAATTTTGAAAATATGCCATTTCCACTATGTTTTCCTATGACTCAGAAGTCTTCAATGACTCTTCATTGGGTTCCTTGACTTCAACGACTCTTCATTGCCTACAAAATACAGGTCAGACTACCAAAGTGACACATGGCTTCCCACAAGCTGACCTCACCTATCCTTTTCTATTTCTAAGCCTCATTGTTCTACTCCATGGACCCTTCTCTTCAGTCATGCTGGCCAATTTGCCACCTGCTGAATATTCTGGTGCCTTCCCTAGTGGCACACATTTCGTCTCTTACCTGGAATACACTACTGTCCATCACCCCGTCTATCCAAATGCTACTGTCCATGGCTCAGCTCAAATGCCACCTCCTTCTCGAAGTCTCTTTACTATTCAGCTAATGGAATATGAGATTTTTCTTCCTCCATGAGAACAGATCTAAATTATTTTTCTCTTCTTTGAATATCCTACACTGTCTGGACACTGGCCTTAATAAATATTTGTTAATTAATTCATTCTAAATAACTTCCTCAAAAAATGATTATATGTGCCAAGCTCTTGAAAATAAGGTGATGATCTGTAGCTGTTATTATAGCCACACAATGGAAACTTCAGAGCATCTAGTGTGTTGTCATTGGATCCCTTTTTTTCCACAGAAGACCAAACTAGGTCATTTCAAACCTCAGTCACCTTCAGAGGCATTCTAGGAAGAGTGCTCTAAGAGTCAGCAAAGAGATCACCTTCCTGAATTCCTGACTTGTTGTCTATGTCTGCTACTGTATCCAATTAAGGCAAGTGTGAACTGGAGAAATGAACTAATCATTAGCACCATCCAAACAAAATGAGAGCAGTGCTTTTCTTATGTTGGCTGGATATTCAGCCAAAGGAGTGAAAGAGGAAAAATGAGAAGGAAAATACAGCCTACAGCCATCAATTGCCCTCCCTTCAAACGTGCTTTTCTGCCTTCCCTGATTCTGGTTTTCACAAACATGTGATGGAACCAGAATGTTTGGCAGGCAGTCACTAAGGATTGGAAAAGATGGTTTGCTGTAGTCTGATGGGATATTTACTAGCATGCTTTATCACCTGAACTCTTCTGAGTCCCATTTTGTTTTCCCAGAGCACGTTTCTTTGCTAGATTAAAAAGTTCTGGAAGTGGTACCCTGCCTGTAAAATTCTATCTTATTTCAGAGCTAGGTCTCATAATAGATAATGCAGTCCTGTTTCTAGGTCCAGTAACATGAGCTATTTATTTCATAGGCTTCACTTAATGAATCTGGCCAAATCCTCAAAAGATATGCTATTTGGGAAAAAGAAAGCTGAGTTATGGGGAGTGAGTGTAAAACCCAATAGCAAATGGGCAGAAAAGAGGATGTGAAAATTTTAGCTTTCCAAGCATTCATTAATTCTTTCATTCACTCATTAAACTGACAAATATTGACCATTCTCTATGTGTCAGTGCTCAATCATGTTATTTATTCAATTAGTCGGATTATACGTATTTATTGATCATTTATTTTCTGCTAGCTAGTAAGCCACCAGTTATAACTTTTTGTAGCAAAAAGTTAATGAATATAATTTGAATAGGAAACATAAAGATGAAAAATTATAAATATTAAAACAAATAATCAATATCACAAAACGTCATGAGTAAATTTGAATAACTGTTCTAATGTCAAACTTGTTTTCATGATTTAAAATATCTTAAAGTTTTTATTTCATATGTGATTGATCTTTCCTCATAACCCAGGTAATTTGTTGACTACCTGGTGTACCCAATTGAGAACGAGCTTAGTTACAAAGGAAGCAATTGAGGTTTTGAGCTCTTGAGGCAACAGATGGGAATATGTGCATAAAAATCTAAGTCCAGTGTAACATAAGTATTATTATTATCCAAATGGCAGTATAGGGTATTTTCTTAATAGATTCTTTTAAAATCCTTTTTTATAGTTATGGACCTTTTCTAGACCAATAGTCCTTAAGGAGAGGAGGGGATTTTGCCTCTCAGGGACATTTGGCTACATCTAGAGACGTTTTTTTTATTTTCACAGCTGGGGTGGTAGGGGTGCAGAGTGGGCAGCGCTACTGGCGTCTGGTGGGTGGAGGCCAGGGATGCTGCACAAGAGAGGTCTCCACAACAAATTATGCTCCCCAAAGTGTCAAGAGTACCGAGTTTGACAAACCCTGCTCTTAGTCACCATTTTTCCTTCTCTTGGAGTGCAGTATGACCCAAAGATACCAAGGCCAAGCCAGGTGTTCTGTATGGCAGCCTGGTACACTGAAGAGTGCTCGATGTTTGCAAGCTCACAACTGTGGCTGCCCCCTCTGGTTAGACTGGGCTAGTTGTTTCAACCCTTAGAGATTATTCTCTATAAAAAAATAATCTGCACAATATGGATCATAGCTGCCTCACAGTGTTGTGGTGAACACCAAATCAAGTATCCATATACCTATTCAGTAAGTCTCTTTCCTCCTTCCAACCAGCCCATGCATCTCCCTGCCTTCCTTTTCCCCTCTCAATGCTGTGTCTCCCACCCCCAAGTCCCAGGTTGTTTCTTTTAAAATGCTTTAATCCCTTTGGTGGCAAAAATCAGTCTCTGGTTGGGAAGTGAGTCTACCACTCAGCAGTGAAAGGAGCTTGTTTTTCTTTCTCTGAATGCATTTCTTAATAATTTCGGACTGATCCTTCAGCCACTTGTTGCTCAAACCCCCTCTTAATGTTTAAGACACACTGAGTGAGTTCTGTGGCACCAAGACGTGTTCCAATTGTTAGGAATGAGAGTGTTTTAAATACCGAAAATAACCGGAGGGCAGAGAGCCCTGAAATCCTATGTTACATAAGCAGATGTTGGAAGAGCAGCGAGGCTGGTGCTGAGGTTCCTTTCTCCAGGAGCCAATCTCCGCTGATCCTCCCAACCTTGCTGGATTTACCTTAATGCCGCAGAGGTCTCAGAGGGGCCCCTGAAGGCTGCACACCACAGGCAGCACAAATAAGCCTCGCCTGGAGTGAGGAGGGATGGGGCTGCCCGCAGAGGGACTGCCTGGCTCCTGGCTGCGTCTGTCCCCTCCGGCTCCCAGTCCTGGTTCACTGGGCACTTTTGCTGTGCCACTCGGATGCCCTTTGCTGGTGTAGGAACCTGTCAGTTCTCCTGAACAATTATTGAGCTTTGCAAACGCACATAGAATGCCTTTAGTGGTAACCTACAACTCCCCTCCCCCAAAAAAGTCATGCGAAAATGGAAAATAATCCGATTCCCTTTTCCTCCCAGATCGTGCCCCTCCTTTTCTCTCGGTCTTTTCTCTCTATCTCTCTTTGTCTCTCTCCTCTCTCCTCTCTCCATCTCTTCCTCCCTCTTCTCCCACTGTCTCTCTGTCCCTCCTCTCTCCTCTCTTCTCTCTCTCTCATCTCCCTTTTCTCCCCTGCATCCTTCTGTCTCCCTCCTTCTCCCTCTCTTTGTCTCTCTTTCTCTTCCCTCTCTTTCCTTCTCTCTCTCTCTCTCTCTCTCTCTCTCTCTCTCTCTCTCTCTCTCTCTCATGTTTTCTCCCACTTTTTCTCCCTCCCTCCTCATCTCTCCCTTTCTCTCTGTCTCTCTCTTTCCCTCTCCCCCTTCCACCTCGCGTCTCTGTCCCTGCTTTCGCCGTCTCCCTCCCTCCTGCTCTCGCTCTGGCTCCATGGCTTTCTCTTCTCTCTTCCTTTCGGCCACTGACTTTCTTCTCTCACTCTGTCTCCTTTTCTCTCTCCCTCCCCGTCTCTCTCTCTTCCTTTCTTTCTGTCTCCCTCCCTCCATCTTTCTCTCTCCCCTTTCCTCTCTCTCTCGACCCACCTCCTCCCTCCCTCCTTCTCTCTCTCTCTCTCCATCTCTCTCTCCCTCTCTCCTATTCATTTTCTCCCCAACCTTTACCCATCTGCGATCTAAATCCCTCTATTTATCCCCTCTCTTTTCTCCCCGCCGCCCTCCCTCTCCCTTTTCCTCTCCTCCCTCCGCTGTCCGCCCGCCCCCCCCTCCCCGTGCCACCCCTCCCTCCCGCGGGCTCCGCTCTGCCCTCTCCGCCCCTCCCCAGAGAAGCGTCCAGCTCCTCCCGAGGCTGCCGCCCGCTCCTTCCCTGCCCACCTACCATGAGGAGCAGCTCCTCCCACCTGCCCATAAAAGCCAAGTGCATGTTACCCGCGGCGGATCCGAGCCCTTCCCCGATCCTCTGCGTGGGAGCCCGCGAGCCTCTGGCCCTGGTCTTACGTGCGCAAGGTAAGCCCTCGCGTCTGCAGGCAGCCGGCCTTCCCGGGCTGGCCGCGGGGAACTGTCACGTCGGGCCCGCGGCGGGCTGCTGGGTTAGCGCAGATTCCTCTGGATGCCCGACAGCGGCTCCTTTAGCTAGCAACTGGTTTGAAAACAAACTTCTGTTTGAACGGTAAAATAAAAGCTCCTTCGGGGCAGACACAGCAGCATAAATGTTGTAAAAACCCTCTTCTCTTTTTAACTCACTTTTTCCCCTGTTGCTGGCTGTGGCGAGGTTAAAATGTATCTGTGGGCGGTGTTGTACTGACGTTTTTCATTGCATTTCACATATCAGTGGGGGCAAGGGAAACTTTGTCCCATTGTCCAAAATGTACTTTAAAAGAACACAATTAGCTTCCTAAAAATAGCACAGTCAAAAGGTCTGCTAACAATTTTGTGATGTTTTCCAAACCCCCGAGACAGCTTCTGTGAGTCCTTTTTTAAAATGTCTTTCCAGGTTTAAGCGCTTGGAAAAAATGATGTGAATGGGTGCACTTTGCACAGGGACAGCAATCAGGTATCTGGTAGATAGGAAAGAACAAACCCAAATTTACAAGCTGGGGCAGTGTCCTCTCACTAGGCTATCTTTTCACAACATCCTAAAATGAGAATTGTGTTGGAACTAAGAAAGTGTATAAAAGAACTTCATGAATTTCTATACACACACCTGACATAAAGCATTTCAATATGTTTCATAGTAAGAGAAAAATACAGGCCAGATTATACAATACTTCTGGGTACCCCAGATGGCTGTAAAGAAAGATCAGCTAGAAGGGCTTTGGAAGTTGTAATTCTGCTGGCCACTCTCTTTTCTCTCATTTAGTAAATTAAAAACTACCAAATTGGCACCAAATTCTCACAGCGATGCCAGTGTTTTAGCTACTCTCTTTAAAAAAAAATAGATCTCTTCTTATTTCTAAGGTATAATAACTGTTGTGCACCTGTGAAAGGAAAGACCTACTTTACAGCTACTTCTGAAAAAGCAGACACTTGGTCCATGAAGTTTGCCATTAAAATCTGTGGGCTGTGTGGGATGAACTCTCTCATGTGGGAGAAAAATCCCTCTTCAAATGTTTCCTCTGAGAAATTGCACAAGATCACTTAGAGAAGGCAAACCAAAGCTGCCAGTCAGGAAACTAAACCACTCTTTCAGTTGGTAAAGGAAGAGGAGAAATGTTTCATTTTTATTTTTATTTTTTAGTTTGTTTATATTGTTTCATGTGAAAAGAAAAAAAAACTAATTGAAGTTGTAAAAGTCTCCCCTATTAAAGAAGATTTTAACTTAGATCTTTCAATCATTTCTTCTTATCTTTTGCATATCAAGAGAAATAAAAAATATATTTAAAAGCTCTGTGTGGAATGGAGAGAGTTCAATGCTATTATTCAAATGCAAGAGTTATATGTAAAGTTTTCTGTCATGTTAAATTTCTCTTCATTGGAAAAAATTATTGCAAGGAGTGTGGTTTCCTTTAAGTAATGATATAAAATTACTATTGGCCAAAATAATATGTGACCTGAGCATATTAAAACACCTTTTATCTCACGCCATGGGGCAGACTGCTTGCTGCATATCTGATGGAAGTGGGTAATCAACCATGACAAGAGCACTGGTGTGGGACAAGGCCAAACCAAGTGTGTGGCACATCCAAGCTAATTCCTCTTTTATGGTAGTGCCTGACTCACACCCATCCTTGCAACGACGAAAAAATACTGCTTCATTCACCAGATCCCCTTGAGGGAAATTATCTTTTCTGGGGGGAAAAATACTCCCAGTTGAAATGAGCTCCTGTTATTCTTCTAAGTTTGGGGGTGGAGAGTGTTCTCGAAGGATTTGCTTCTGCTTTTCCTGGCAATTAATCCACTGACCAGCTATGAACCGTTTAACAGTAACTGCCTTCCCAATGGGCATCAAGTTCAACCCCCTAAATAACCCAGTGAGATCATCATACATTGCTCAAGATCTAACTCCCCCAGAGGCTGCCAAAGTGATTCTTTCTCTATAGGGCATATATCAGGCAAGATGACACTGCCCTTCTTAAGTTTTCAGAACAATGGGTGTTGAGGTTTTGGATCATGACCCCAATATCTCTCCTTCTGCACAGGGCACAAATCCTCTCTTTTTGCCATTGCATTGCCAGACCTAGATCAGGTTCATGCATATACCAATGAGACACCATTGTGGCAGGTTTTCAGGGCCTCCTTAAAGTTTCTCAAAAAAGATTGGATGAGAGGCTTTCCCTTTTACTAGAGACACGAGAAGAGTCCTTGGCTGATTTTGAAGGCCTGCTTGACGTAGGGAAATACACATTTTAGATTTTCTGCTATTGTCAACAATTACAAAATGGTATCCTTTCCATGATCAGAAAGCATATATCCATTTGTGAAAGAAAATCCAAGGAGAGGAGGATGAGGATGAATAGGGAATTGAGGGGGAAGCTGGGGGGGGCAGGAATCATAGAGGTGCCCTAGGAGAAGGATGTTACAAAACCAATTTCTCACTACCCCCATTTATATAGATTATAAAGGTTTCAAGAAGAGCAAAAATTCATGTCTGCTCTTGCCTTTTGCTTGTTATTTTTAATCAATGAAATTAGTTCCACTAATAAGATTAATCTCTACCATGCCCTCCTCAGTCTTCCTTCACTAACAAGAGAGAAAAAGCTTAGTTCTAAAGATCAGAATGATTTTAGGTTTACCCCACATTGAAACCCACAAGAATGTGCCAGTTACAATTTTAAAAGCTTTATTATGGGTATAAAAACCTCAAAACATAGTTTTAACTAATGGGTGTGTCACATCAACAAAATCAACCCTAACTCTCCCTGGGCGTATAATGTTGACTGATTATTTGCAAGTTGGAAGTTAGAAGCAGCCAATTAGTCTCTCTTATCCATGGTTATGCACATTGGTATGGAAACTTGAAGAGTGATTGAGACACAACCGTTATTTCTCCAAGTCTGGTCCTCCACATGACCCTCCAAGAGCCAGGTCTGTCTTTCTGCCTCGATTTCCTTCTCTTCAGTCAGGCCCCCATAAACATACACGTGCATAAGTTAAAGAAGGTACAAATCTCGAGAGGTGGGTTCAGTCTTATAAAAGTACGCTGTTCTAACTATTGCATAGAAGGAAAAACCAAAAGGAGAAGATTAAGGGGAGAATGAATGCCCTTTGGAATTTAGAGAATCTCTTTAATATTGTGTGCACACTCATAAGTGGACCTTGAACAACTATCTTAATACTGTAAGAAAAGGATTGACAGTAGCGGGAAACTGCAGGGGGGTGGAGGGGTGGGGAGGTGGGATTGACAGTAATGGGAATCTGCCAGGGGGGAAGGGGGACACACCTCATCAACAAGAATAACTGCATAATGAATATTTGTATACCTAACCCTGAATTGTACCCCACAATTTTAAAATAAAAAATTTAAAAGTAGAAAAAAAAATTATTGTGTGCAAAGGATCTCTCGATACCTAAAGCACCAAGGAATACAATTTAAAAAAAGAAAAGGAAAAAAAAAAAAACCTGCTCACAATTTGTTACAAAACGCTAATAAAATACTAAAAAAGATCTTCCAGTGACCTGACAGTCAATAACAGTACTTTACACCCCACCGTACTAAGTTAGAGTTCAGCTGGACGTCTCCCTGCTAAAGAGACAAGGAGTGAAAAGTGGGAGAGACCACATTACAGCACCAACAGAGAGAAGCCGCCCATCAGAGATCCTTCCATCAAATCATTAACTATGTTTACGGTTTGAGGAAGGAGGTTCTTTACAGCCTTTCCTCCAGTAAATTTGGAGGAGAGGGGGTTAAAGAGAGTCACAGGAGGTCAGAATGTCTATAATCTGAGGTCCTGTGTACACAAATCCACAAAGCCATGGAAATTGCACCTGTTCAAAATAAGGTGACTAGAACAAACAAAAATAAGGTTCCCTAAAATTGATAATTGATCATAGAGTAATCAACTAAAATAAAAATAATGAATTCTGACTTCTCAGTGTAAGGGAAGGGCAGAGCAACAACTCTAGCTGGTTGTGTAAAATATGAAAACGCACTTGAGGATTCACCTTCGGGGCCCTCTTTTTATTTTGGGCTGACTTCCATTGTCCTTCCTGGAAAACAAAAACTGGCCCTTCTCTCCCCTGCACAACCTTTTGGGGTTTGCGGATGCAGGCCTAGTCTCTCGATGTCATCTCCTTTGTTCTTTCACTGGAAGAAACCTCTTTTCAATTCTCATAGATCCAGTTTCCGGAATACCACCCATACTTGTGGCTTTTCTCATGACCAAAAATGTCTTCCTACTTCTCTTAAATGAAATATAAATTTTCACTCTATCGAATTAAAAAGTTTCACATTTCTCTAAACCTTAATTTACATACCTAGACAAAGATCATTTAAAATTGCTACTTGCCTCCAATAGAATCTCTGAGATAAGGTTTCAAAGCCCTTTTATTTATCTAGTTCCTCTTCTAATTTATTAGGATTTTTTTTTTTAAATCTTATTTAGAAGACCACAAAATACTTATAAATGCTGGAAGAGACTTTGGAACTAATTTTAACTATACATTAATTTTACAGGTGAGAAGGATTAATGTTTTTCCCAAGGCCACCCAAATGGGCATAATAAAACCAAGGCAGGCATTCATGTAGCCCAACTTTCAAGCACAATCACTGTGGTTGATCTTAAATAACTACAATGCATCTCCCATAAAATATGAATCTAAGGTCTCCAACAAAACTGAGTATCCTGTAGGAACTTAACATACAGCGTTCTCAGAAGCCACCACTTGGCAGAGGTTTGGACTGCAGCTATACCTCTACTGCCAAATGTCTACGACACATTGATACAAACCCTTGTGAAGAGTGAAGTCACTGATCATCACCATCACAGGGATCTTATATGTTTTTCTCCATTCTAGAATCTGGTACAGAGTAGCTGTTTGGTAAATCTGTGTTGAGTAGGTGGATGATG